TGTTACACTCGATGACTTATTAGATACAGATTTAGTATTTTAAGTAAATGATACTTTATGATTCCTTATATTTACTCGAACACTACACATTGAATAAAACTATTTGTACAGATCTTATCGCGTTGAAGTTCGTTGATTTTAATTCCGACTTTAATAACGACGAATTTAATAACCACGTTTCAGGTGCTTTACAGCACGGTTATGGGGGACTGAGGTGGTTGGCGTCCCAATGTTAGTGTTACCCAGAGTATGTTCAGCTTTTAAAAGCTGGAAAGCACCCAAAATTCAATTAAAATCAAATGCGATAAAAGTAGTTATATTAAATGATACATTTTTAACCCCACACTTGCATAATAATTTTTACAATGTTTAAAAACATAAGATGGCATTTCGACTTTTAATAAAATGTTTTATTGCACTTGACATAACTAGTAGCAGTGACACTAAATGGTGTGTGACTGACTTGACTAAACTCCTGACAATTCTCTTTCATATGCATGATCATTTAAGGCGCATATTATGAATGTACAACGTGAGATTTTTTTAGTCAGAATAGAATATTACCCCATATCTAAATCATGCAAATCTGATGGTAACTGAGGAAAGAGTTATTTAAATTTAATCTATTTTCAGTATTCCTGATAATAATATATATTTTGATACATGCAGAAATCCCCATGCCATCTACTTCTGGAACTGATGAAAATAAGGAGGATTGACACAATGAATATCAATATAGGGAAATATTCATTTCATAATTTTCTCACATATTTTTCTTACAAAAACATATTTTTCTTAAACAAGCAAATTAAAGTAGCCATTAAGATACACCTATCTATATTATCCTGTGTTTATTAATGGACATTTCGACAGATTGTAGAATATCTAAAAATATAGCCATATCTAGTATCTAAACAGGCGACCAAAAAAGTAGAATGTAAATGCTAATCTGCCAGGTACAATAGTAGATTGTTTACAAGCTGATGTGAAGTCAAACAATTGAACTATTTTATTAATTAAATTGTAATTCTCATTTGTGAAAAGTTAACCCTTAGTGAGTGATTGTATCTAAAAAGGACCTTTGCAATACTCACACAATGTTAAATAAAATGCTACTATTTGACTATTGACTTATGGTAGGCTTTTTTGTTTGAAAGTTGAAAGATTTTTTTTTTTTTTTGGTTGACTATGTTTATCAACTCATTATTACTTTTTTTAAATAAATTTTATATTTGTTGCAGGTTAAAAACTGCCTAGGAGCACTCCGCTTAAATAGCTTAAGCTTTGAATATTGCTGCATATTTGGTAAATGGGGGAGCAACAAGCACAAACCATAGATACTGCAAAGAGAAAGATTTGAGAAAAATTGTTACATCAATTGAATTGAATATGTGACCTATGTGCAAACAACCATCAGTTCCTTCGATAAAAAATTAGATTGTAATTATAGAGGTTTCAATGGCTGTGGCAATATTTAAAAGAAATTGATGTTTTGCGCCTAGAAGGAAAGAATTTGCTTGCACTTGTAAATTTACACTGAAATGTAAAAATAAAAGACAATAAATATTTCTGTATTTTATTTCTTTATATCGAAATAAACGTTAATAATGGTTTAAATTTAAGTTTAAACCAATAAAAATAAATTTTCAAAGTTCTGGGATAATTATTTACAGCCACTAGCTACTAGGCTGAAACAAATAAATGCCTTTGCCTTAGATAAATTTAAAAACCTAAATGTCACTTTCAATTTTTGAGGCTCGCTATCTAATTTTTTAGTATGGAAGATTGTCGTCTGTACGTTAGTACTCTTATTAGTTTGTGACTACGACTTACGGAGTCTCCTTTTTGAAATTCGAGTTATAGAGTATAAATATCTATTATCAATATTTCGTAGGGAAATAACATTTTCTTCGAGTTACAATGTCTAATAATTCGAGATACCGCGTATTTAGGGGTTCTGCGGAAGGGAATGGCAATTTTTTTCGACTTACTGAGGATTTCAACTTAACGAGGTTCGAGTTATAGAGATTCTACTGAATATCATAACACGCATATATTTTTTTAAGTAGAGCGTGTCTTTCAGAAATTTAATATTACCATGTTTTTAAGTTTATATGTGAACTATATAATAATATAATTCTTTTAATATAATTATTATTAAATATTATTTATAATCTTATCTATGGTTTCGAGTAAACTTAGTGATCATATACTCTTTGTTTCTAAGGCGTCCCTCTAAATATTAGTATACTCTTTGGCGCGGTCTACAAGGAGACATTTACGTCTCCATATGGAGACGTCAGACTTTTAAGGGTTAAGTTATGATTGTATAAAATAGAATAAAGTTCTTTAGAATGAATTTCATTTTTTAAAATATCTATATTCCAATCTCCACAAACTATAATTCTTTTATTATTTTTCTTAGTAAGTTTACTTAGAAGTTGTTCAAAATTTTCAAAAAATATTTTTATATTAGAATTTGGAATCCGATATATATACATACAACGCAAATACCTAGTGCAACTATCTCAATAGCACAGAATTCAAATGTATAAATTACCGAGTTCGAGTAATTAAATAGTGTGCGTTTAGAGTAATTATTTGTCTGCGCATGTTAACTGTTAGTGAAAACGATGTTACAGATGCTAATTATGATAATCATATAAATCTTAAGCTTTTTATCGAAAGGTTTGCAATGTAACGCATCAGCATATTGTGACGAATTTGGTGAATAAAATTCACCTTACAATAAGCTGTATGGTGTATGATCTTCACCTACCACTTAGATATAAAAAAAACTTATATTTATGGCAAATCATAACAACCGTAGAATATCAAACTGTTAACTGTCACCCACTGTCATCTGTCAGCTGTCGAGTTCTATTGCGAAGTTGCGGTGTATTTTATTGAGTTTGGTTACATTTCCTAAATTGTTACTAATTGAAATATTACATTATTATTAATGAATTATTACATGAAGAAGAGCGTCAATTGTCTAAATTTATATATTAGTAAAACATACGTTTTAATAGTTGAAATGTTTTAATTTATACTTGTTACTTATTGTGCATTAAAAAGTAATACAACGATATATTATACAAAATTTAATTCATCAGCATGCCCGACATAAAAATTACTCCTTTAGGGGCTGGTCAGGATGTTGGACGCAGTTGTATACTGCTGTCTATGGGTGGTAAAAATATTATGTTAGACTGTGGAATGCACATGGGATACAATGATGAACGGCGATTTCCTGATTTTTCCTATATCGTACCAGAGGGTCCAATCACCAGCCAGATAGATTGCGTTATTATATCCCACTTCCATCTTGACCACTGTGGGGCATTGCCTTATATGTCTGAAATGGTTGGTTATACGGGGCCAATTTATATGACCCATCCAACCAAGGCCATAGCGCCCATATTGTTAGAGGACATGAGAAAAGTCATTGTGGAAAGAAAAGGAGAATCAAACTTCTTCACATCACAAATGATAAAGGATTGTATAAAAAAAGTGACTGCAGTAACTCTTCATCAGTCTGTGATGGTAGATAATGAGTTGGAGATCAAGGCCTATTATGCTGGACATGTGTTAGGTGCAGCTATGTTTTGGATAAGAGTGGGAAATCAGTCAGTTGTGTATACCGGTGATTACAATATGACACCAGACAGACATTTAGGAGCTGCTTGGATAGACAAATGTAGGCCAGATTTAATGATAACAGAGTCAACATATGCTACAACCATCCGTGACTCAAAACGTTGCCGTGAAAGAGATTTCCTTAAAAAGGTACATGAATGTGTTGAAAAAGGCGGGAAAGTACTTATACCTGTGTTTGCACTAGGGAGAGCTCAAGAATTATGTATTCTGTTGGAAACGTACTGGGAGAGAATGAATTTGAAATATCCCGTCTACTTTGCATTAGGTTTAACTGAAAAGGCTAATAACTATTATAAAATGTTTATAACATGGACTAATCAAAAGATAAGAAAGACTTTTGTACAAAGAAACATGTTTGATTTTAAGCATATCAAACCTTTTGATAAATCTTATATTGATAACCCTGGAGCAATGGTAGTTTTCGCTACTCCGGGTATGCTGCATGCTGGTCTATCATTAAATATATTCAAAAAGTGGGCTCCATTTGAACAGAATATGTTGATAATGCCTGGCTTTTGTGTACAAGGTACAGTTGGCCATAAAATACTTAATGGTGCTAAAAAAGTAGAATTTGAAAACCGTCAAGTTGTAGAGGTTAAAATGGCTGTAGAATATATGTCATTTTCAGCTCATGCTGATGCCAAAGGTATTATGCAATTAATACAGTACTGTGAACCGAAGAATGTGCTGTTAGTACACGGAGAGGCTCAGAAAATGGAATTTTTGAAGGATAAAATTGAAAAGGAATTTGAAATCAGTTGCTATATGCCTGCAAATGGTGAAACTTGCACAATCACTACTCCAACGAAGATACCAATTGATGTTTCTTTACGATTACTCAAAGCTGAAGCTGTTAGGTATAATGCACAACCACCAGATCCAAAGAGACGTAGAATTGTTCATGGTGTCCTATGTGTCAAAGATAACAGGCTCTCATTTCTTGATATTGATGAAGTTTGTGATGAGATTGGTATAAACAGGCATGTTATTCGCTTCACAAGTACAGTCCGGTTTGAAGATAGTGGACCTGCCATCAAAACTGCAGAGAAGTTGAAGACACTTTTAGAAGAAAAATTACAAGGATGGTCCATTACAATATCAGATGGTAATATATCTGTAGAATCCGTTCTTATAAAGGTAGAGGGTGATAATGATAACACCAAGAATATTTATGTGTCATGGACAAATCAAGATGAAGACTTAGGTAGTTATATTTTAGGATTACTACAATCAATGGTACAGTGATTTAGTATATAAGTTAAATAAATTGTTGTTTTATTTGAATACTGTAATTTGTTGCAAACACTTATTTTTAGGAAATAAATAACTTAATTTTGTCTTTATGCACACCAGGTGATATCCATATTACACTTCCCTTGATACCATAAGTACTGAAGCTTGTTCATTTCATTTAAGTTTTTAATTTCTTCTGGTGCAAATGATTTTTGAACCTGCAATAAAATACAATATATACATATAAAAATTATTAAAATTGTAATAAACAATTTAAATGAGATTGAATCCTATCAGCAGATCGAGATCGAAAGATCGAATTTACATTTAGCGTGTGTTAAATTGCGTATAAAGAGGATACTCTCTTAGTGGTTTGTGGTAAAATGCAAAAAAAGGTAATAGGAGACACTAATAAGTAGGGTACACTAAGTATTTTGGAATTAAAGCCTTTTTTTATAGAATAAGTGTGATAAACAAGCCCACAGTCCATCTGATGGTAAGTGGATGCTGTGGCCCATAGACATCTACATTTATTCTCGATTAAGAATGAAAATGTAAATGCGTTGTCATCTGAGGACTGAGATGAAATGCCTTGTTTCCAGTAAAAAAGGGTCTGGATCTCCACACTCACCATATGAAGGACAGCAGTATTAAGATGCTATCTGACGCTGGTATTCTGTGAGAGCGTGGTCCTTCCCCGGTCGAGCCAACCCAATCGTGCTACATGATATAGCTGTAGTATGGCTCTCACACATATGAAACCTATAGCTATTGTTTAAAAAGATGAGTATAATCAAAATGTAGGGCACATGATGATATCTCCTAGATTGAGATCGTGGTATGATAATATATTATCTGTCAGTGTCTGCCAAATGTTGCAGTGAATTTTTTTTGGATTATTCAGTTTATCCACCCTAAGAGATCCACCCTAGGGAGGATACTTTGAATCGCGTGTTCGTTTATCCACCTCATACGTGGGGGTATAGTCGGATTTCGTATATTATTTTTCTTCCGAATTTCCGACTCAGCTGTGTACAGTCGTTTATAAAAACTGATAGAAGCTGGCACATGATTACTTAGTAGTCATTTAGGAGATATCAAGAAAGATATCTAGAACTGCAATTAATTTCAATTATATTTTTGAAGTAGGTATTTAAATTAAATAAATAATATTGTTTTATAGAAATACAGTACATTGAAAATAGTACGGACTAACAAATTTTAATGTATAATTCTCAATAAATGTCTTTTATTAAGAGACGAATTTGTTCGGAATATACAATTCAAAATCTACTCAATAATGAATTAAGCATTTAATTTCCTGGATATATTGCAGAATTTATAAATTACTTAACATTATTAAAAACACGGTAGTTTAATTTGGTTTAAATGCAATACGTAATAGGATATTTGGATACTTAAGTAAGTTTGATGTTATTAAATATTAATCAATATTACGTTAAATGTATGAATATATTTTCTATTGAACTGTACTTGGGGTGCAAAAGGCGAAACAACAATCAAAAAGTGAATTACTAGGGTGTATAAAGGAACACACGTTTTCTAGTATCCATCTCAGGATGGAAAACGGAATTATGGAAAGGTCAGAAAAATACCCAAATCGGCGATAGGGCGTTAAAGATCAGAAAGTAAGATATTCTACCTCCAATCCACCTCAATCAAAAGTAATATAGGCAAATATTTTGGCACAATCGGCGAGGCCAATGTCCAGAAGTATGTTGTGATCTAAGGTTAATGACATGTTTAATAGTATCTTTTATATCGTGTAGGTATCGTTAAAATACTACCAACCATTTTTGGGGGAAACAATCTTTTAAAGTCGCCTCTATGAAGGAATTCTCTGTAAGATTTTAGCAGGCTGTTTCTTAATCTATTGCTAAGGCATGGTCTACATAGACCACATATAAGTAATTCTTCGCATTGGTCCCTGCATTTTGTACTGCACTCGTCACTCCAAACCGCAATGTTTTTCTGCGATGATACCATATTTTCAGCTGAACTTTGCTCTCTAAAATTAAATGAAAACGTTTAAAAAGTTGCAGCATTTACACGTGCCACAGCTGGGTTCAGGCCTCCTCCCACATCTGATAGGCTTATAGAGAAATTGATCCGCCACGTTGCTTCAATGTGTGTCAATGGACTATACAACTTCATAAGTCTTTGAGACTGTGAATAAATTTCACATGCTGGATTTAATTTTTCTTATTCGTTTGGAATTAATTAATTAATTTATTAATGCTGGTGATGTTCGAACCTTGGTTCGTATTTTGTAGCGAACTTCATGCTTATAAACTACATAAAAAATTTAATTTATAACGGACTTACTTACGGACTGAACTTAATCGAACTTGTCCGTAACATAAACTAGATAATGCAACTTGAAAATAAAATCTTAGTGAAAACAAAATTAAGTATGCTAATTTTACATCAAAAAAAACCTGTCTCTAATGTAGAGGGTCAATTTATACAAAATGGCGCATTCGATCACATTCCTTTATTATGGCATCGATTTGTTGGCGCCACCGCCGTCGAGCACCGAGTGAACTCGTCGGAACTATCCAATGTGAATTTGTTTCGTTTAGTTTGGTTCGAATGTTCCTTCGGCAAGTTCGAATATACTTTAAAACAATTTGCTGTCGTTTCTGTAAGTGGTCTCAAATAACTAACAAGAGCAACTGGGGGTCGATTCCAGCTAGACCAATAATATTACTATTGAAATTTTAAATGCTTATTTACTACGTGCCTAGCGGTGAAGAAAAATGTCGTGAGGAAAACTGGTATTCTGAGGAAGAACATTTTCAAAAACGTGTAAAGCTGAAAGTCGTCAACAAGCACTTGAGCAGCGCGGTGGACAATTTGTTACTAAACCTTAGAAATGAGTGGGGGCTGAGCCCAACAGTGGATCGTGATTATCAATATAGTAAAAAAAAATAATTACTTCGCAAACTTCCGCTAACTAAATACAATGATGTGTTTTACCTGGATTGAAGAGCACTTCCCGCCCTCCCTCAATTGCATGCACTAACTCCGTCACCACTAGTCCCAGCACCATTACTCCCAACACCACTACTCCCGGTAAGACACACCATCGACGACAATACGACACGTGTTTCGCCTCTACACGAGGCATCCTCTGACCGCTAAGTCTTAACGGTCAGTCGCCGTAGAGTCTACATCACCTGAGGATGCCTCGTGTAGAGGCGAAACACGTGTTGTATTGTCGTTGATGGTGTGTCTTACCGGGAGTAGTGGTGTTGGGAGTAGTGGTGCTGGGACTAGTGGTGACGGAGTTAGTGCATACAATTGAGGAAGGGCGGGAGGTGCTCTTCAATCCAGGTAAGACACATCATTGTATTTAGTTAGCGGAAGTTTGCGAAGTAAATAATTTTTTTATTATAATGGATTTCCGCAAAGTAACGCCTGATTCTATCAATTATATCAATATAATATAGTGTTCGACAATCCGTTGACAAAGGAAATAGTTGGTGCTTATATTTTTATTACACACTACCGATGCGTCGTCAATTTCTTTTCTGAACTTATTTACTTATACACTACCGTGTGTCTAGATTACAAAGAAGAAAAAGCAGAAATAATCCTAAAAGCCTATCCTTGTATTAAGAAATTAATGAAAAATAGAATACTAGAAGCAATGGTTAAAAATTGTATTAAGTAGCCCTTACCTTGAATTAACATTTCCGCGCCCATTTATATAGCTGGCAACACCAACCAACGAGAATAGATTGTATAGCACTTGTTCGTAGAGCAACTGGTTGGGTGGATAGTGCGCCGAACTTAAATTCGGCGACATGTTCGCCTCTAGAAGGTAGACCTTTAAATTTTCGTCTACCACCAAATCGAACCTCATGAGCTCAAAGAAATTGTCGGATGAAGGATAATTCTTCAACTGAAACAAGACAGTTATTATAAAAAACTGCCAATATATTGAACGACAATCTTATAAAACCATGCTTGAGGGGGTAACCTTGTAATGTCCTTGTTACAAATTAGGATTAGGTACTAAGTATTTCAGGCCAAGTATATTTTTTTTATAAAATTTAAGTGACACACGAAATAACAGTCCATCTGATATAAATTGACTATTGTAGCTCATGGACAACTAATATCAACTTCATATAAAGAAGGCTAAATATGTTATTTTTAATTTTTTTATATTGTGGTATAAGGGTGACAAACGAACACACATTCCGTCTGATGGTAAGTTTGGTAAGTGGTTGCTGTGGTCCATATACATCTACATCTATTCTCGACTATGAATCAAAATGCGTTGTCACCCTTACAAACTAAATTGGAATGCGTCGTTTCCAGTAAAAAGGGTCTTCGATTCTCTACACTCACTATACGAAAGAGAGCGGCGTTCAGCTGCTATTTTACGCTTATATTCTGCGAGAGCGTGGTCCTTCCCCGGTCAAGCCGACCCATTTGTGCTACAACTATACTACTAATATAGCTGCAGCATGGCTCTACCACGTCTGAAATGATGATGAATGAGATGATGTTTTGTCACCTCTGATCACTAACATGGTTTTGCCTCACAGTCTATAATTATAGTGACTCTCTATGCCCTTGAGACAAAAATACTGCTATTTGGTCAAAGATTTAAATAGTTAGATGCGCCTTCACCTTGAAAACTGTGGTATCATTTTTCGATTTGTTCGTTTGCAAGACGCTGACGCGCGCACGCTAATGCAATAGTGTCATATTTTATTATCTTACAGAAATTGTGTATACTACTTTCTCTGTCGCTCGCACAAATGAGCACTGATTGCGAATGAGTGAGCTCACGCATTTAGGAATGGACGCATTTCGGAGTGGTCATACGTAAGGGCGCATCTAACTATTTAAATCTTTGATTTGGCAGTAAAAAAGGGGACAGAGGATGGTACTTGCACAGAAGAACTATACAGACAGGAGTCATACCACCTAGTTAAATCAAAAGTCCAGTATCCAAGAAATATTGTAGAGTCGTTTTGATGGGTGATAGAGCCGTGGCTCTACATAGCGTGGTCACAATACAATTGTACCTAGTACGTAAGGGTAATATGGTCATCCGGTTAATATGATCACTTCCTTATAATTCAAAACCTACAGCCTTGTTTGCATAGATGGCGTTGTGATACAATAGATCTTCATCAGATAATCAAATAGTAAAAGGTTTAAAGGACGCTGCTTTATCATTATACTAAATATTTTAGTCGATTTTAGTATGGTGTAGTGTACTTAGTTTTTTTTTAGTGGATTTTTCGAATTGTTCCTAATTATTGCTAAAGTGTGTTTTTTTTCGTAATATATTAGTTATAGTATACAACTTTTTGTTTTTGTCTCTGTCTTCCTCCTAGTTTTGGTTTTTATAGGGCGGCAAAGTTTAACGTGACCATATTACCCTCACGTACCATAGTACAATATGTACGTATACAACTGTTTCACAATACAGCCATGTTGACAACGCTATTACCGAATACCAGTGTGAAATAGCAGCATAATGCTGTTCGTATGGTTAGTAACGAGACATGGGAAGTTTTTTCAAATAACCAGGCATTTTATCATCTCCAGGGGCGACAACAGCATTTTTATTCTAAATCGGGAATAGTGGTGTCTATGAGGCAAAATAAAAGTCACCGTCTAGACGGTGTAAGAACACCCACTACCCCGTATCATCCCGTGGGTTGGCGACAGAGGGAAAAAAATCAGGAGATAGACAGCAGCGTATACCTACTTAATAACGACTGAAAATAAAAAATTCGGTTGCCAACAAAAATATCCTTTCTTTTTTATAAAATAAGGGTGACAAACAAGCACACAATCCACCTGATGGTAAGCGGAATGCTGTGGCTCTCAGAAATCTACATTTATTCTTGATTACTAATCAAAACGCAGATACGTTGTCACCCCTGAGGACTAAGATGGAATGCCTCGTTTCCAGTAAAATAGGGTCTCCGGATCTCTACACTCACCATACGAAACACAGCTGCTATTTTACGCTGGTATTCTGTGAGAGCGTGGTTCTTCCCTGGTCGAGCCGACCCATTCATTCTACAACCATAATATACTTGCAGCGTGGAAGCATCAGTAGGCAGTCTATGAGGGAGACCTATGTTAGGCAGTGGATTTTAAAAGCACTTACTAGACTGCGTACTTTTTTGTTACCCTTATTTGTATGAAAAATCATTTATGAGTTGAAACTCGGATCCACATGGCTCAGATCTTTGGGTAGGAATTACTATACAACAGTGACTTGTGATGTGATAAACGTAGGTGGATACTACAATAAGTTAATGAGGAGGTACATTAAACAGTAACAGGTTAAAGTATTTTTAAAAATTTAATTGACAATCGAACTAGTAGTCCATTCCTGATGGTAAGTGGTTACCGCACTAATTGAAGAATTGTTTGAAGTTGGCTGCAGATTTTTGCCGTAGTTAAAACTTTGGTAGCCAAATTAGTGGTTTATGTACTAACTAGGTAATTTATGCATTGTATTTCATCGACGGTTCAAATGTGATACGTGTGGCATACTTCCGAAAGCACAATCACCGCAATGTTAGATAACCAGTCTACCCGTCTATTTGATTATGCTTCGAATTCTACATCTACAACAGTCTTTAAATTCCCCACGGTTTGAATCTATTAATGTTCGGTAGTTGGGCAGGTTTGATACCGAGGTCAAGGACCTTCCTTTTTGAGTTAGAAGTGAATACATAGTTTCAGTGATGACAGCATCACTGATATTTATATGATTTTGATGTCTGTGTCACAAATCAACAACGGTTACCACAGCTCCTATAATATTGTTGCGCGAATAAGTCGACGTCATGTATCCGGCACTAGCGCCATCTAGTGTCAGGGACGAGAGCGAGGGGCGCTTTCCAGAAAATGACATCACTAATCTTTCAACCGACAGCACCATCTAGTCTCGGAACGAAGAACTAAGCTTCTAGAACTCTCGGCCTCTTGTGCGTGTTTACTTGAATATTCTGGATGTTTCGGTGCTAATTTGTATTTATAGGCGCTACAAGATGCGATCGGGGAAGTATTGAATTCGGCGAGACAAGCGAAGCTTAGGAGCGGAATAAAGTGAATCAGTGTGATTAATTATTAGTGTTTTAAGTTTTAATTGGTGTAAAGAAAATTAAAGTGTTAATTTAGGTAATTCTATCGGCAATTTTTATTGTCACGAACCTCAAGCTCGTAACAATATTTACAAATAAAAAAATCTACCATGGTAAAGCCATGCTGCAGCTATGTTAAGGTTGTAGGTAGTACAAATGGGTCAGCTCATCACAGAATACCCGCGTGAAATTATCACCACAACACTGCAGTGTTTTCATAAGTGTAGAGAACCGGAGACCCTTTTTATTGGAAACGAGGCATTCCATCTTAGCCTTCAGGAATGACCACGCATCCGCATTTGTACTCTTAATCAAGGATAGTTTTGGATTTTTATAGACCACAGCATTCACTTACCATCAGCGGGCCTGTGTGCTCGTTTTTTTACCCTTATTCTATAAAAAAAGAAACGAGGCGAAAGAAACTTATTCAGAAAATATCCTACACTTAAGTTAATCCATTAGTAAACTTGACAAGTAATATTACATTAAAAGTAACAATAATAGAAAACGTACGTAGTACCTATACTTACAGCTTCAATAACATGATGTTCTTTTTTGAGAAAAACTTCTGTTATCGCTTTTTCCACTTCCTCCCACATTATTGCCGGGTTTTTTCCCTGTGACATTTAGTAATTCATTAATATTTTATTTAAAAAGATGTATACAGAAAGATTTTTATTGTAATCATGTATGATTTGTTTGTATGCAATAAATTGATTTTATTGTAGAGGAAAGGATGAAATTAATTTTATTGTATTGACAATAAATATAAAATCTGCTAATCTGAGTATTGAGGCATGCATGAAACTCACGCCTTTTTTGAAATATCTACCTACCTAGCTATTTTTATAGGTTCTTAATTTACGAAAATGGTTCAGTACAATATACAATCTACTATAGTTACTACTATCGTTAGGTATAGCCTGCTGCTGAACACAGCATGTTCCCCCATAGATTGCCTCATAAGTGGGGTATTTTCCATAGTTGGCACGCTTGGCAAGCGGGTTGCCAACCGCAGTTTTTATATTTTCAGTCGTTATAAGGAAGACGCTGCTGTCCATCTCCTGATTAGTTTCCCTCTGCTGCCTCTTACGACACCCACGTGATGATATGGGGTAGTGGGTATTCTTACACTACCACTATATGGCCCATGTAGAGTTTAGAGTACCATGCCATTTAATTATTACCATTCGCCTATTTTCTGAAATAGGGCTATTATTTAGATTTTTGTTATAATCCTTTATATAATTCTAAATTTTGTTCATAAAATTATCACAAAACAAGAATAAGGTATTTTAAATAAACTAAGAATAGTCATTGAAAGAAAAGTTTGTGTTCCGTATATCAACCGTAATTTTATACTGTACAATACTGCAGAAGAGGCAAGCTTTCGTTAGGTATATTATGAATCAGTTTCACTTACTTTAGAACGCACGTAGGTATTGAAGGCCTCCTTCATGCCGAATCCCAGCGCGGTGTAAGGATGCGCTAATGATGGCACTTCCCAGATCGGCAGGTAGTCATCTCCGACAACATATTTGTCAAGATTTTTTGGGTCAAAAGGATAGTATTTTGCTGGACAGTATCTAAAATTATACGAGCAATGTTTAAAGTTTCATCTAAAGTCATTATATATATATATATATTATTTTTTATATTTATATTTATATTGTATATATATATATATATATATATATATATATTATATGTCTCCTGTCCGTGTGTATGTAAATAAACATCTCCTAAGCGGCTGGTTCGATTTTGATGACAATTTGTGAGATTAAGTTGATTCAATAATGGTTTAATTTCACAATTGGATATCGAGGTGCCGTTGATGTCAAAATCGAAAAATTACCCGTTCGAAGCCGATGGTTGTGCTAGAATTTTAAATTGAAAATTTTAAAACATCCGAAACAAAAAAAAGCTAATGATCTTCAAACGGCCGATCGGATTTTGAGAAAACATGTCTAAGAACCACCGCTGAAAAACCAGCTTTAAAATAAATAAGACAGCACCAAAATCGTGGAGCTACTCTACCATGATACAGATGCGGCGTGGCCCTACCACGTTCAAGCTATTTTTAAATAGGTACCTACAGAAATTGTCTAATGGCAACATTGGTCTTTCCAATAGAGTAAAAGTTGCAATACTTGTACAAAGATTTTTATTATAAAAATTTTTTTTAAATTTTTAATTTTTTATTTTATATTTTTTTTTTTTTTTTTTTTTTTTTTCTCAGGGGTTTTTTTTTTTATTTTACTACCAATTATTTAGTATGTTATAAATACTTTTTTTGCAAAAAAACAGGCACTATTATTATTCAATCACAATACAAAATTGTGAATGAAGTACATGTAGATAATACACAGTTTATTACTTAGTGGAAGCCCGAAATAAGTCCATTTATAACATTGTTAACGGAATAAATATAGATATTTTTACGGTTGTCGTATTTAGTACATCGAGTAGACGAAATGAATAGTGAAAGATATCCAAAGGAGCAGTAGGGTCTGGATTAATTAACATCAATACAAATATATGAAATAAATATGCTTTTATCAGTACAGATATTCGATAGATGGCATTAAAATTATAATTGTCGGTCTCTGCAGACAAAAATTAAGTAGTTATTTGCATTAAAAAAGTTCTAATTAAATTCAAACGTTCTTGGCCACGAAACCGTTGTGGGGAAACCTGCATTCTCTGAGAAATTAAAAAAATATTTTATTCATGGACGTAATATCCGTCAATAGAGGCAGTGCGGTGGACTGCTGCCTTTGTCCCTGTTTTAAAACGCTTAGATAATTCATCGTGTGTTGGCGGCTAAATAGAATCAATCATCCTATTTCGTCCCGTTTGGAAGAAAACTATATTCTTGAGCAAATAACATACAAACATCGTAGAGTTATGCTGCAGCTATATAGTTGTAGTACGCATAGGTCGGCTCGGCCGGGGAAGAACCACGCCCTAACAGTACTCATATGGTGAGTGTAGAAAACCAGATACCCTTTTCACTGAAAATGCGGCATTCCATCATAATCCCCAGGGGTTACAACGTATCTGTTTTTTGATTCTTAATCCAGGTTAGATGTAGGTGTCTAAGGGCAATTACAACCATTTACCTTCAGGTGGGTTGTGTGCTCGTCCGTCACCCTTATCCTATAATGTTTTTTATTGAGCACTTAAAATGTTATGTTGGACACCAGAGTCGACTAAGGAATAACCATGATATAGTAATATTTGCTGATGATACTTCGTTGATTTTCCGACTAAAAGGCAATCATTAAAATATGACGAAGTGAATAATGCTATATCAAAAGTATTACACTGGTTTAACATCAATAATTTGCTTTTGAACGGTAATAAAACGAAATGTATATCTCAAAGCTTATTGAGTGTCCTACGTACTTGAGAATTATAAAACAAGTGATTGTTGGATTGTTTTCCGATTCAAAAGTTATCGTTATGTTTGTTTGTCTCTGGTTTTGAAATCCAAGCAGTCATCGATCTATAAAAAATAATGGCTGCACACTGAGCAAAATCTTTTCATTTACGTGGTAGAGCCATGCTGTAGTTATATTAGTAGTATAGTTGTAGCACTAATTGGTCGATTCACAGAATACCGCTGAAGCAAGGTTTAGACGAAGCCAGTAACGCTGGCGCCAGTCTTTTGAGGCAAGCAAGCTTTGTTTGAGGCAGGCAAGCTGCAAAGCATAGGCTTGCCACAAGAACTTATCAGCATGCTCCAGTACTGGTACGCAAACCAGGCCAATAGTGTCAGGTGGGCGGGGGTAATGTCGGATCCGTATCGGCTTGAGTGTGGAGTCAGGCAGGGTGGCTTAACATCACCAACCCTATTTAATCTTTATATCAACGGGCTGATCGTAGCGCTTAGCAGTCAGCATGTCGGCTGCCACATTGACGGTGTTTGTGTCAATAATCTGAGTTATGCAGACGACATGGTGCTGCTGAGTGCGTCGGTCTGCGGCCTGAGGAAGCTGATACGGATATGCGAGGAATATACATGTGGCCACGGATTATTGTATAATGTCAGGAAGAGTCAATACATGGTCTTTGAGGCCGCTGGTACGAATTGTCCTGATAGTATACCTCAAATAAAATTAAATGGTGTACCCCTGGAAAGGGTTAAACAGTTTCAATATCTGGGGCATTTACTCACAGTCGACCTGAAGGATCACGCTAATATGGATCAGGAACGGAGGGCGCTGTCTGTCAGAGCTAACATGATCGCTCGTAGGTTTGCGCGGTGTTCAAAGGAGGTTAAGGTTACGCTCTTCCGAGCGTTCTGTACATCGCTCTACTCGTGCAGCTTATGGGCTAATTACAGTAGGAAGAGTTACAGCGTCCTCCGCGTCCAATACAATAATGCGTTTAGGGCGGTGATGGGGCTGCCTCGATTTTGTAGTGCCTCTGGTATGTTCGCGGATGCGCGCACCGATTGCTTCAATGCCACCATGCGCAAGCGGGCCGCGTCCCTGGTGCGCAGAGTGCGGGCCAGCTCCAACAGTGTCTTGGCGATGATCTCGGGAAGGTTAGACTGTTATATTATCCTGCATTGCTGCGACAGACATGTCGCAGAACAGTTGCCTCTGAGAAAGTTTTGATTGATCTCGTCTCCTGACTGATAAAAGTGTGTTTCAATTCTGTTATTTATGTATTAACTTTATTTTAATTGATTAGATTATTTTATATAATGACATTACTGCTTATTGAATTTGACTGGATGTATTATTTTAAAATTGTTATTTTGTTGACATTGATTTATATATTGTATTGCTATACTTGTGGAGATTGATTTTAAATTCATTTATTGCAGCACAGTTGCCTCAGAGAAAGTTTTAATTATTGATCTCGTCTCCTGACCGATAAATGTGTGTAATTCTGTTATTTATTTATTAATTTTAATTTTATTTCAAATATATTTTATATACTGACATTACTGCCTATTTACATTGACTAGATCTATTATTTTAAAATTGTTATTTTGTATTGACATTGATTCACTTATTGCTTAATTTTGGAGACTGATTTTAAATTTTTTTGATTTTACTGGATATGAGTGTAATTTGCCTGAATAAAGATGATTATTATTATTATTATTATTAAATGCGGTTGCTGATCATGAGGTCCCGGGTTTGAATCCCAGATTGGCTCAAATCCTGTTATTGTGTTTTTCTGTAAAATTCTCAGTAACGGCCCGGAGTCACGTAAAGCCGTGCGCACTGCACCTGATATCTCTCCGATCGTGTCGGATTGCCATCTTAACGAACTATAAGAGTGAGGGAATAGAGAGTGCTTGCGTATTCACTCATGTAATATAATACAGTCCTACTAATCCCATCTCGCGCAGATGGTAAGTTTATGTTGAGACTGACCGCAATGACCGAAATCGGTCTGGGGGATATTATAATTATTCTATGGGGGAGGGTATGTTCGGCAGTGGACTTTTGATAGGCTGTAACCTCAACGGTTACATTTTACTTCGCTTATCATGCACTGCAAGTTTGTTTAAAAAAAATTAAAAAAGTAACTGCCTCGTTGGTCTAGTGGGTGTAGTAATGCGACTGCTGATCATGAGGTCCTGGGTTCGAATCCCGGGTCGGGCCAAAAATTAATTATTGAGTTTTTCCGTCAAGAAATTCTCAGTAGTTGCCCGGAGTCAGGAAGTTGGCGGTGTCTCACCCCCGTGCCTCGGAAAGCACGTAAAGCCGTTGGTACTGCGCCTGATCTCTCTCCGGTCGTGTCGGTTTACCCTGTGGGTGGCCCTCTGTGTCGCCCTACTGCACTAACCTGTCTGCGCCTGCCCCCGTTGGGGCCGTGTGGCCGAAACGGCTAATTTATTATTTAAAAAAAGTACGATTTTTTTTAAATAGAATAAGGATGACAAACGAGCACACAGTCCACCTGATGGTAATTGGATGCTGTAACTCATAGACATTTACATTTACCCTCGATTACGAATCAAAATGCAGATGCGTTATTAGTTCTGAGGACTAAGATGGAATGCCTCGATTCCAGTAAAAAGGGTCTCTGGTTCTCTACACTCACCATACGAAACACAGCAGCATTAAGCTACTATTTTACGCTGGTATTCTGTGAGAGCGTGGTCCTTCCCTGGTTGAGCCGACCCATTCGTACTACTGCAGCGTGGCTCTACCACGTATAAACGATTTAACAATTGTAGTGTTTTTATATTGGTTAAAGAATATATATGTACCTGAATAAAATATCACCGGTGTAGTAGTACACTCTCAGAGGATTAACCGACGTCAAAACAACGTACACGCCAATATCAAACTTATGTCCATCAACTAAGAATGGTTTCTGCACGTATTCCTGTACGAAACTTTCACCGCTTGACAAGTCTATTTCACTCACGTTCTTGAGGAACACACCTCGGTGTTGATTGTGTTTCTCCAAAAATAATGCGTTTTTATTCTTGGAGGCATATTTTAGAAACTCTTCTTTGTTCTTTGGCAGTTTAAATGCTTTTGGAATATAATTAGAGTCAGATGTCGCTAAATCAACTTTGTTGGTTATAAATCCTGTGCCAGGAAAATGATTGACTCTCTGATTTGGTTTTAATCTATGCAAATTTGGATACAAAACTCGGAAAGGGTAATCATGAGACCACAGAAGTGTCCATGGTGTTTTATTAGTACATTTCTCGAAACCAATCCTTTCTAGAACCAAATGCACATGTTTTAATAATCCATTTTTATTTTCTACATCACTGTAGGCAGAATACACCCAATATTTGCGTCCTTCTGTTTCATAATCTTTTGATATATTTTTAAACGTATTTTTTACGTTAATAATCTGCAGCAGTAACCCTAGCGTGATTCCTACAAAACATACAAGTAAATATACGTTTATATTTGGTTCGTTTTTGTTCAGAATATTGCGGGCTACTTTGTTAAGGAAATGTCTCTCTTCGGTTAATTCTGTATTGTTATTTTTTTCTTTCCTTGATATTTCTGATGTGTCCTATAAATAAAGATATTGATTTGATTTATAGCAAAAATAGTGTATTAGTAAGAGTGTATTAGTAAGTAAGTACAAACAATTCATTTTAAATTAAATTTTCTCAAGTATTCCTTTGAGACTTTAAATATAAGAAATCATTTAAAAAAATTATGTTAAACCGTCGTAGTTCAGGTGCTAAATTATCGTCTTCAATTTCATAATAAATTAGCAACCCGGGTTCGATCCCTGCCAGTACAAATGAAACTGTTTTACAACGTGCTCGGCAAGGATAAAGGAAAACATCCAAAGGAAGTTTTCATACCTGAGAAATAAAATATTTTGGGGGCTACGTATTAATTGCTTCAGAATCCTGTTAGAAATGAGAGAATGTAAGACTTTTACAGGCTCTAACTTCACTTTTTTGTAATAAACAATGTTATACAACATTCGATTTTAAGTACTTTAATTGAAACGAAGTTTAAGATTGATTTATATGACTTATTAATATATTTATCTTCATTTCTATCGATTTATTTGATTTAATAAATATTAACATTTCACAACATATATGGTGTATATTTATATCAAACAAAATTCATTGGACGACGTAATTATGTACAAATTAACATAAATAGCTACTGAGTTGTTTACACTTACTGTTTTTCTCTGATCCGCATCGTGTTCCATTTCCTTAGACTCTTATTAACATTTATTTATACAAAAAAAAATATATTCTTTTGTTGCAGCAAATCCTAGGACTACTATTTTTTTTGCGAAGATTTAAGACAAATAAGATGTTTCTCAAGTACGCGCATAAGATGTTCTCGTGATGTGCTATTACTAAGTGGATTGACTTCGTATGGTATCATAGAGAGACAGTGACGGCAGTTTGGTGGGAGCGAGAAAACGTATACTTTCTAAAAACTTGGTACCTCTACTGCATACTAGCTTTTAAGGTCACATCAGTGTGAAATGTTTCATATGCAGATAATATGCGATTTTCTTTTGTCATTGTTTATCACATGAAATTATAATACTTTTTTTAAATATATTATAGTGTAAAAATATTTAATTTTATAGTTTTATAGTTCTTTGCAGAACTCATGATTCAACTACGTACAACACCTCAGCCTTTTCGAGAACATAGTTTTGCAAAGCACTTGAAAGTTAAGGAGTATAAAATAAGTTTAAATTGTAAGCAGTTAAGACGTCGTCACGTAAACCTCAAAACTTGAAAACAAGAATGTGGAACAACCAGTACGTGTTTCCAGTCTGAGACGTGGTCATCCTTCATTGCTGGCCGTATGAGGAAACTCGCTCAGCGAACTATGGAGAGTGCTCAGAGTTTTTCTGGTGATAGACTTCGTAATGAGGATATCTAATGGAGAACTCGATGAACCGAAATAATCCAAAGATCAAGTGAGATAAAGTGCCTAAAAGCCGGCCATATAGCTCGAAAAATTGACGATGATAATCGAAAATGAGGAAGAAACGTTCTCGAGTGATAGTCGTGTATCGGAAAGCGGTAAAAGTCAGGCGCCCTCTTAACAGATAGAGCTGGTACCCTGCGGTATCCTCCTCGTAAGAGATGCACGAAGTCGATTGATACAGGTAGCTCTGAACCGTGCTTTGTGGTATTCTTTGGGAGAGGCTTAGCAGTAGAGGTTTAGCACTAGACTTGTGTTGGGCTGTGATAATAATGATAAGGATTAAAACACAGTTATTGCAGTTAAAGTTAAGTTAATGTTACAGCCTATATACGTCTGGGCACAGACCTCCCCTCATTTCTGAGAGGGTTTTAGGGCAAGGAAGTGTGCGCCGCGCTGCCCCAATGCGTGTTGGCGAACTTCACATGTCTTCGAAATATTTTTTTCTTATTTCTCATACATGCAGGTTTCCTCCGATGTTTCCTTCACCGCTAAGAACTCTGTAAATCAGCAATCAATATTGCAATTAACAATATCATTGGTGCCGGCGATAATTGAACCCGGGTTACTCGCGTTCTGTTATATTTACAACGAGCGTTAACCATCTGAGCTATAGATGCTCTTTGCCTGCTTATTGCAGTATTATATCGTAATGTAATAAATAATTATTAAAATTATTATCAATTAAAATTATAAAATTTGAAGTAACTTAAAAAATATATATATCTTTCAAAAATTTTTGCAATATTTTTAGTGATAATTAACTTACAGACATTGAATATTGTATTTATAAAACAATGAAGACCTCTCTATAAAACTTGAAAGAAAAACACTCTACAAACTAAAATACAAGTCTATTTTATCTGGACTTTCCGCCAACGCACTAACTCGTCAAGATACTTTCGATTGTTGATTTTACAAACTCTACGTGTAAGAGTAACTAACTCTATCATAACAGTAATTTTCTTTAAAACAATAATTGCTTCGTTAAAAATAATTTTCCTTTTGTCGTCAAGTTGTGATTGATACCAGTTTTTGTTAAAAAATAATGATAGCACGTTATTTTAAAACAACTTTTCTTTACATAAAATCACATTACCACACCACGTCCAGGGTTGACTGGGGTAGAATTGAGATAGATAAAATTAGACATTAAGTGCGACCTTTGTAACTCTTTTCTTTAGGTATATAAAATAAAGTGTAAATAAAATATAATATTTAGTAGGCTAGAGGTTATATAAGCATTTAAGCTTTTAACTTAATTAAACATTTTATATGGAAAAAATAATTGAAAAGACTTCTTTGCTTATGTAATGAATGAAAATATCCGACAAATGTGCTTGTGGTTTTAGTGAGCGGCAATAGTATGAAATACCAGAAACAATACGGAAACAAGGTACTCTATCTTACAGTACCATCTCATAAATATTAGATGTAAAACATCTAGACCGGCAACTTCTCATTGTGACGCTATATTTATATCCAGCATATTTAGCCTACTACATAATATAGTATCCTAATATAATCGGCGAATCTCTCTCTCTCTCTCTCTCTCGCTGTTAATATTCCCACATGGTGGTGGGATCTGCTTTTCTAATTTTTCGCTTTCAATTTGCTCTATTCAATATCAAACCTATCAAGGCTTTCTAGGTAGATAATAATTTATGTCCTTGTTCTTCCATATTCCAGGTTCCTGTAAAACACAAAGAGACATTCTTCACTCCCAATTTCTAGCCCGCTGTGGTATCTACTGTATTGCCAATACAGAGTCGCGTTAAAGAAGAAAGTTCCCTAAATATATTTATATATTTTAGGTTATTTAATCTCTATGGGTCAATGTTCGTAATTTTTAAAGTCCTTGATGACGAAAATAAAGATATTATTGTATTGTAATGTTAAAACACAACAGAATAGTTTCCCCTTTGGACCATAGACTTAGAATATACTTTCGTACATAAGTTTATGGTTTGGACTCCCCGACCTGTGAAACGCCGGCAAGCACTCTGTGGCTAAGTCATGCGACGTGAATGCCGATAGAATGCCATTGTCATAGCTTCAAATCCGACAGATGTTTGTATTAACCGCAAACGTCGCGACATTGTTCTAGAATGTTTGCGACGAATGCCCACGTATATTTATTTGTCAACTCCGAATCTATCGATCCGAATAATCAGTTTTGCATTAAAGTTATGCATTTTTTACGTTTTATCATGAGTATTCAGTACAGAGGTTACTTTCCCTCTGTTTTAAATTTTTTGTAGTGAATACTTTTTTAGAATAGTTGTGATTTGAAACTCGATGAAACGAAAAAGCGACACTAAAAAGAGACGAACATATACACATCTATAGGATTAAGCCTGCGAGAGAATGAGATAGAATACAGTATACAGTGTATCCCATTATCTGAGTATCCTTTTCTGCTTTTAAATTCAAATTTAGTTACTTATTAAATTTGCTTTAGGTTTCTGTACTCTTTAGTGATTATTCTCCCAAAAAGTAACGGCATATTCGTGGATGACACAACGGTTCCCTTACATTTGGAGTCTATGCAGCAAAGTGAAGTGTGTGACAAAGGACTATGGATTGGAAATCTAGATCCTAGAGTTAATGAGTATCAATTATTGAAAATGGTTCGCATGTATGGAAAGATTGAGAAGTTCGACATGTTATATTCCATCGCAGCGGGCCCAATGGGCAGCCGCGTGACTTTGTCTGTCACCTTCAAGATGAGACAAGATGCTATTAAAGTAATGAAGTCTCTAAATGGGAATCTCTCTTGGGATCGAAAAAAATTGTGTTAAATGCCAAGACTACGTCGGATGAGCAAGATAAACCAAAACCCGAATTGGGTATTGCTGCACATCCCTTATAGATTGCCTCGTAGGGGATATTTGTCACAGTTTCCACACTAGGCAAGTGTTTTTATTTAGGTTTAGTTCTTTTATAGAATAAGAGTGCACAGTGGAGCACACAGTCCACCTAATGGTTAGTGGTGATGATTAAGTATCAAAATGCAGATGATTGCCAGCCTGAAAGACTGATGGACCCTGGAGGTGGGAAATTTTTTCCAGTAAAAGTGTCTCCTGTTCTCTACACTCACCATACGAGACACAGCAGCATTGAGCTGCTATTTAACGCTGGTATTGGTTGTTCTCAGGAGATGCTGCTGTGAATCTGCAGTTCCCTCTGTCGCCTCTAACGACAGCCACGCGATGAGTGTAGCAAAAACGTCAACGGGATGGTTATATCGTCATCTATCACAAGTCATGAAATGTGTTTGGTATTTCCTATTGTCGGTTTAACTAGCCATAAAAGGTGTAGTAGGCTTGGTAAATGTGTTAGATGTAGAATAGAATTGAATTGAATGTCATTTTTTACTTTTTACTACACCACTGGTTCGAAAAAAAAACTCTGTCCTGATAGGAACCAGCAAGAAACCCAACGGGCTTCTTTAAAAAAAAATACAATATGAAAGGTTGTATAAATTATTTGCAAAATTTATTGTACAACAGCCTGGAAACGACTACCTCACTCCCAGGGGTTATTATCAACCATGTATTAATTTATATTATAATAACCCTTTTTACACAGTTTTTGGTTTAAAAAATATTTAAACTTGGTAATAGAGAAACCTTGTATATTTCCTGAGACTTTGTTGATATAACGTATTACGTATACATTGCCTCAAGAATAAAGTACTGATTCTGTGGAGTAGTGAAGTGGTATCTATATATATATATATATATATATATATATATATATATATATATATATATATATATATGACTCACGAAGTCATGGTTAAGTTAGGTCTTGAGAGAAACCTTGAAAAAGGGTCGATGTTCAAATCTAAAAGTTATTTAGAAGTATTTATTACAACGTATTTATATGTGTGTGTTAGTGAATATAAAAAAAAGTTCGCGTGTAAATTAAGTACAGCGTTGCATTAAGAAGTTAAAAGTGTTTTGGGTTCAATCACTGAACTGGTGAATTGCATATTTTCAAGCTTACAGCCCGTGAACACATTTACGATATCCTTCCGACAAAATTAGACGATGAATATTCTACCCCGTACGCTGTACCTATCTACACTGTACGGTTATTTTTAGCCCCTATTTTTGTATTTTTTCTTTACAACGGATTACTAATTATTAAACCTAATCAGAGTAGAGTTGGCAACATAAATATCGTTACCATCGTGATTATGGATTTGGCACTGTTCGGCGATGAAGAAAACGTCATGAAAAAACCTGGATGAGA